AAAAAAAAAAAAAAAAAAAAAAAAAAAAACAAAAAAAGAAAGGTGAAAGACCATCATAAAACTGTCACTAAACCCAGCTTCCTCCTCAAATATTGATAAAACATGACACCACTTTAATAATTTTGTTGCAGCAGGATCCAGTAAATTGTTTTCTTTCATAGTTGCATGATAAGCACATAAAACATGGTATCACAAGTTAAACTGACTACATAACATACATATTAACAATAATACATTATTTAAAAGAATTGATAAAGATCCATACATAGGGAAAAATGGATGGCACTACAATTGATTATGTAAAAGACTCTTTAAGAGGAACAAAAGGGAAGCCTAATGCTAAATCTACACACAAATAAAATATGTGTGGACTCAAGTTCATTAACCATATTCTACCAAACGTCATTAGTGATTAAATCATAAGTCATATATACTTTTAAAAGTTTATTGAATATTTTCACAAACGTAAATGCCAGAAAAGTGGAATTTTCTTTAACACGTACAACTACATTTAAAAAGATAGTAGTACTAATTTTGTGATAATGCGTTGTTTCTCTGCTTTCTCGTTTTGACAGGTAGCTTCCAAATGCTTTGAAGTTTGATTCTCTCTGAGCCCCACCAGCCTATTTCTTGCAAATAGCCACTGCCGTTTGTTCATGAATAAGGTATGTTCCCGTTGCCTTGATGTTTTGGCAGACAGCAAATATCAGGCCAGCCACATTTGGGTTTCAGGAGGATCCCTGGCAGAATGTTTACAATTCTGTTTGGGTGCAGAATGTTGATAGGCGAGGGAGAGGATAAAGGAGCACCCTATGGTAGGGTGGTAGGGAGCTGGAGAACGAGAATAAGTACACATGGTTCTGCTTAGATAAGATAATAATAAGTTAGTCACCCAGGGAGGAAATTACAAAACAGAAGAATTAGAAAGGGAGTTGGGAAAGCAGTCTCTTTGCTGTTCTGCCTCTAGTGGGATTTTAGGAGCAAGAAGAGGGAGAAGGACATAGAAAACCAGCTTGGTGAGCCAAGCAAAAAATTATTTGTTTCTCGTCAATGGGCAGAATTATCTGTTCTGGTGGCAGGCTTTCTTTGTACTTTGATCTTTTTGTGCTGCTACGTAAGCTCCTGCTTTATGACATTGTCCCAGTGGCAGAATCAGGACACGCAGAAAACACAGTAATCATACCTGGCCGTTGCTGAGAACCCAGTGCTCCACCGCGATTCTTCACCTGCACGAGGAAAATGGGCTGCAATCGGAACTGTGGGCTCATCACCGGAGCTGTCATTGGAGCAGTCCTGGCTGTGTTTGGGGGCGTTCTCATGCCAGTAGGAGACATGCTTATTGAGAAGACCATCAAAAAGGTACAGGCGACCGAGAAAACCTGCTGGGCCTCTGCTTGTTCTATCATGTCTCTGTGGATGTTATCTGGATGCTGGTTTTGTGTTACCTGGCCATGCTGTGCATTCGGTAGGAAGGTGATGAGACCCGCTACAGCCCCACATGACGAAGTATGCCTTGTGAAACATCACAGCAGAATGCAAAATTAGCCTCCCAAAACTCTTATGAGTATAGTGAAAATTGGACACGAATGTATTTCTAAGTTGAAGTATAGAAAATTTTGATAAAACTTCAGGTAACAGTTATATGGTTTAGTAGAAATAATTATCTTAATGTTTGGAGAGTTCACTGTCATGCTTTTGAATAGAAATAGTATATTTTTAAGAACATTATTATAATAGAAGTTGCATCTTTATTAACAATGAGAAAATGTATGTATCTATGTGGGTGTACATGTTAAAAATTTTTATTATTGAATTAGGACCCCGGGAAAACTCCTCTTAAATAGGGAGAATAGTCATTACTAATACATAGAATCAGTGTATACTCACATGAGGATCTGGTTCTCTCGAAAGTTCAGGGAGAATGTTATTATATAGGGCACATCTTGTCATACATCAATAAGGTGGAGTTTTTGCTCAGATTGGAATGATTTAAGAAGATGGATATATTCATCGTCATCTCTCACCCTAGTTTGTTTTACTTAGGTTCACATTCAAAGGAAGTCTCATGAATTGAAGATTCCCCATGTATAACATGGGGAAGCCCATCTACTGTCATCCTGCAGGATAGCTGGAAATTCAAGTGGTGTAAGCAGTTTGGAAATAGTGGTCACAAATGAAATAATGCTCTCTCCATCATAGTGAACGGCGGGGAAAGGACTGTTGCACCTCTCCTGTGCACCTGTCCTGCCCAGAGGTACCCGTGTTCAGTTGAAAAACTGTCAACTAACGGTGGCCAGGCGCCATAGCCAGGAGCCTTGACCTCAGTTCCTAGACTGGGTTGATCCTAGCAACCTAGATAGGCAGTAACTGTACTGCAGCAAGGAGAGTCAGACAAATTAATGTTAATTTCCACTGGAATTTCAATTACTACCAAGACCTTTAGTCTCTCCATCCATTCTTTAATTTTTGGCACTGTGGCAATCCTTGAGATGTCAGCAAATTTCATGTCTATTCACAGGAACATTGGCTTAATGGAATTAACGTAAAAATGAACTTCAATTATAGTTATTCACAAACAGATGTTACTTCTATGAGATTTTGCTTTCTTGTCCTTACAAATGCTAAATCTGTAAGGTGAAAGATTCTCTCCCACTGAGTTCTTTTACTGCCATCTCAGTATGCAGTGTTGAAAGTAAGAATTCCTACATCACACACACACACACACACACACACACACACACAGACACACACACAGTTGCTTGATAACTAATCGATGATGATCTCTTCTTACATTTCTCCAGCTGTTTACATTTAATAAAATGCATGCTATATTTTACAATACAAGTATTGAAATATACATGCTATGTACAAATTATACATAATTTTTTTTTATTGAAACATAGCCTTTTCAATGGCCTCTCCAGTTTTGCTTGGTAATATTATCGATGTAGAATTACAAAGAAGGGTGTGGGTGGGAGAGGAGATGGCACTGCCGCTGCTCTGGCTCTTTCTCTTTGGTCCCTTGTGGTTTCAACCTGGATCATTGCAGAGCATCACCTGTGTCAACACACGGACCAGAACTTTCTTGTGAACAAAAAGTCACAATCTCCCAGGAAACAGCATTATAGACTAACATGGACAATGGCTGAATAGTTCATCTTTTCTCTATGTAGCACAATTAAATCACATAACCTTTCTTGAGTGATACATGAAAGCTAACACCATTTTATATTAAATCTTTAATAATTTGCTCAGAGATCACAAAGAAAACTTAGGAAAAGAGAGTTTTATTTTATTTATAGAATGAATAATTGGGAGCGAGCAAAATAAAACTTTTTCTCAACCAGTATAAGAAATATCTAAGAAAATGGGTGTCTTGTGAAAGAAAATGGACAAAGCTTTGAAAATATAGGGCTAAATTACGTATAATATGAAAAATAAATGTTATGTAGGAAGAAAAAGAATTTTTCATGCAGATTGAAGAAGACACAATGAAATTTTATTTGATTTTGAAGAAGTATTTAATATGAAAAGCCCGTAGAGAATTGTGTTGCAATTTTCAAAAGGACTGATTAACAGCAAGGGAAAGCTGCGGGATGCAGCTGAGTGCACTTAAGAAGGAACAGGTCAAGGTCTCTGTGGAATGCAAGCTAAGAAAGCTAGAAAATCAGGTAGTGGACAGCTCCAGGAAACAGTGCCTTCAGACAGGATAGGCACAGGCACATATGACCTCACAGAGACTGGCAGCGTCAGAAGTCTGCAAATGCTCAAAATAGACAAAACCACAGCCCAGAGAGGAGGGAATGGACACACAGTCCCATCCCTTACACAAAAGCTATTTACAATTGATTTCTGCTGGGGAAGAAAATAAAAAATCACTCTTCTCCAATGGAGTTCACCGAGTATTTAAACTACAAACCAGGATAGCTTCCATGCCAACAAGTAGTTGGCCAAAACAAAATGGACTCAGTGTTTCATTGAGCACTTTTGGTTTGGTCTGGTTTAGGTTTTCTGCTTGGTTTGTCTTATTGTTTTTATTTTGTTTCTTTGTTTCAATTTTCACTTTTTACAAAGAGAGAGAGAGAGAGAGAGAGAGAGAGAGAGAGAGAGAGAGAGAGAGAGAGAATATGAAGTTGAATCCATAGGGTGGGGGATAGGAGGGAAGGCTCTGAGAGAAGTTGGAATTAGGGGAAAGAAAACAATCAAAATATATTGTATAATATTAAAAGATAGAGAATATCGCAGGATTACTAGAATAATAAGAGAGTTGGGGATAATGCAATATACTTAGATTTGTGACATTTTAAACACTATAAAAAAGTAACTAATTGGTGATGTAAAAAACAGTTGGTATTTTATTTTCAGAATAATATAAGAAACACAAGTAACTAAGAGTATTACTAAGAGCTTCCCATACAAAATTGATTTAACTTTCATAAATAAACATGTGGAGATATATATATATATATATATATATATATATATATATATAAAATTTGATCTATTTTTTACAATCTTCTAAATCAACATTTCATCTTAAGTAGTAGATAGGAAAAATTAGAGACTAAGTGATATAACCTTCAATACTATGACCCTAGAATGAATGTGTTTGGGAATTGATAACATGAAATCTTGAAAAGAACAAGGATTGTGGGACAGAACCTCTACACAATGAGATTAAAATTACTTTTATAGAAATGTCTTTATTTACAGGCTCATTATGTTGCTAAAGGACTAAAATGGTAATGCTTTATAAAAATTGGTGGAGTCCTAGATACATTATTATTTTCAATAGGAGGACTAAGTCAGGAGAGAGAGGAATAAATGTGACATTCCATAACATGGCCATCTAATTTGTTGATGGAAATAGATACCCAAAGAGGTGAAAGGCACAGAAGTTTTATAAGTGGCTTGATGTGAACATCAGTCTGTATTCAAAGGTCAGAGTCCTAACAGATTTGATGATTACTGCGAGGTTACAGATAAAACTAAACAAACACATTGCCTTCTAGGGGTTGAGTGTTCAGAGTAGCAGGATTGCTTACTACAGACTTTTGCATAGTCAAAAGCAAGGAGAACGAGAAAGGGAAAAGAAGCTGGGTTTTATGAAGAAACAGGAATAGGGAGTATAATTTATTAGAAGTTAAGAGGAAAGCGGATATAAAGGGAAGCTGAAATGAAACGTTTCCTGGCTGATGAACACTGAATAAGCAGTGGCTAGGGACTGTGCACAAAGCTCTCCTGGTGATGTATTTGCCAAGCAGGCATGAGAACCTGAGCTCAATGCTCAAACCCTTGTAAAATCCCTGCCATGGTAGCTTGTACTTGTAATCTCAGCCATGGAGAGACAGAGACAGATTTCTGGGGAGTTCTGGCCAGCAGTCTAGCCTGAGCTCCAGGTCAAAGAATGATTTCGCCTCACAAAAGAGTGGAGGGCTCCTGAAGACTGAAAAGTGAGATCGATTTCAGGATACCACATGCCAGAGCTCACTATTGTGAAATGAGAGATGTATGTGTAACCTTTCACAAAAGGAGATGGGGTAATATAGTACCCAGGCTCAAAAGGAGATTGCACAAAGCTGGGAATGGAGGGAGAATGGAATCTACCAGGATGATTGATTAAACTGATAAATTTTGGACAATAGTCTATATTTGCATAATATATGGTTGTAGTATTCCTGGAAATTATGAGGTAATTCACACCTTTCCATGGTACGTAAAAGCCCAGTAAAAATGTCTTTAACTACTTTATATGTAAGGATTATTCTCCTATATAAGGGCATGAGATTAAGTAACAGTAGAATAACTAAGTTAAAATAACAGCATACATACCACACATACCTCCATAGAACTATTAACAATGGCTCACAAGCAATGATTTTAGAAACAGAATTCAGCAAATGTAGGTTTCTTTTCTTTTTCATGGTCAATATCATATAGTTCACTTTCCAACTGGGATGAAATCTCTCATTCTAGCTTCTTACATAAATTCTGAAAGGCTAATTTTTGAACCTCTGAAATATTAAATCTTAATGCCTTAATATACATCAATACATTTTATTCCATATTGAATTGATTCTATCCTAATACTAAAGCCATTTGTTCTTCATAGCATAACTGTCACCAATAATCTATTGAATTCTCTTTAACTTTGTAGATATAACACTTATATATTAGAAATTTTATTAGTTTATGTTAATTGTGTGCATAGTAATGAGTTTCTTTATGATATTTTCCTACATATGTAGAATGTATTTTGATCATAGTAACCCCTGATGGTCTTTTTTGTCCCCTCTCAATGATATCTTTTCTCAAACACTATTCCTACCTGGTTTTTTTCATTACCAGTGTTAGGATGAGTTCAATTTGTGTTGTTCACATGAGGACAGGTGGGACTCAATGACCCCACCCCCCCTCCATTCCCAATGAAATTCTGTGCGTCCATCCTTGGACACAGAATATTCAGCCACTAAGACGTCTGATGAGTTCTTGAGTAAAGCATCCACACCGTGGCTGGGAGACAGCGTGTCACCATGCTCCGTCCCTTCCTCCAGTTCCTCCATGCCTTCAGCCCCTTCTTTATGGCTGTTTCTGAGATTTCCAGGGAGCAGCGTGACAGAGATGCCTCTTTCAAGGCTGAGCCAGCACTGAGCGCTCCCTACACTTGCCGCTTTCACCGGTCATGAATCTCTGTAATAACCAGCACCCACTGCCAAAACGAGCTTCTCTGAACAAAGCACTGCCTGATGCTCGTCTATGAGCATGGAGGTGAAGATTAAGAAGACAGTGGAAGGGTGCAAGTTTACTCAGCAAAACAAAAACGGCTCTTAGTGCCTACGACTTGCACAGCCATGAGCATTTGACCAGGTTTACTGGAGGGGAACAGAATTCCCTCCTGGCGAGTGGAGCTACAAATCTGCACAGAATGAGGCTGGTCACTCCCACCACGGCCATCCTACTGCTGAACATACTGTCCTGCTTAGAACAGTACAGGGTGGATGGGAAGTATGGTGACAAAGACAAACATCTGACTTTGAAGGAAGTGTTTCATGCAAACGACGTAAAAATCATCACTGATTAAGTGACAGAGAAAGAAATGTCATGTGGTACTGTAACGGTCACATGACGGCATTGGGTAACGAACAGCTGACCGTAGACTTTGAGCAGCATGGGAAGGAAGGATGGGGAGTTTTGCTCTAACAAGTGGAGTCTGTCTCCACAGGACTAGCGGTCAGCACTTGCCGGGTGGCTTCTGGGTGGTCCATGCCGTTCAGCCCACACTTCTTAGCTGCAATAATTTGTGAGGTGAAAGCAAACCATGTTCAGATGTCATCCATATGTTTTGCTTCTAAATGTGCTTAGTTCATACGGCTCCACATATCTAATCTTTACCTTATGAGGAAACTAAGATATAAATACCTGAAATAATCTGTCTGAATCCACACAGATTTCTAGTATCTAGTTTCTAATATGGTGTCTAGTTTCACTGGGTACTGAGTGTTCTACCCATGCTTCTGCTTTTCATGGGCTCTTTGGGCATGAAGGCGTTTGCTTTAAATTCTGTGCTTCCTCTACTCCGATACAGAAAAACTAAGTTATCTTAATTATTACTTTGACAGTCATGTGAGTGTGACACATACTTTCCTGGCGTTGCCATTCCATTACAAGAATACTCACCCACATAACTATCAAAGTTAGTGTGTACATCTCTGTCTTGGAATGAGATCTCTCTTTCTACCCCGCCTCCCAGCCACAGTCCAGTGGCTGCTCTGTTCACAGAACAAAACAAAATGTACACTCAGAAACCATTTCAAGTTCAGAAGAGTAGAGTGGCTTATTTTCACTAAAGACTGAAATGAATCTGTACTTTTAGTTATACAAGATCACTAACAGCTGTTATGTTGGGCCTTATAAATTTATGACCTGCTGATGCTTGTGTGTGTGAGGGTGTTCTTTTTTCATAGTCTTCTGACATACTTCTGGCATAGTTGAATCAATACAGATTTTAGCTTTGATATTCACCAACACCTTTATTTTAAGAAAGGCAAGTATTCTTTGTTTTGTAAGTCTGTCCTAATCCTGGGCTATTATTGTGGAAGTCTACATTTTGGCAGCATATCTTTCTTTAAAGGGTACTTTAACAGAAAAGAACTGGAAATCTGAACATCACGCGAGCAGCTCACCTGCCTACACCACTACCGAGCAGCCCTTGTTCAAGTGTGCTTGGGACACACCACTATAGTTTCAAACCCATCCTAGTCTATTGCCTCCTTCTGCTCTCTGAACCCCCATTATCCTCTGCATGAAGCAATATGATTCCCAAAGACATGAAACTTGATTTCACATCCACCATCTTTGAGCAGAACATGACCAGGGTGTGTGTGTGTGGGGGGGGGGATTTAGTAACAGTATGAAGCAAAAGAGGGCTGGTGGAAGGGTCAGTGATGCGGATTTCCTCAGGCACTGTGATACTGCTTGCCTGGGCTGCACTTGTGACAGCCACCTGCTTTCTCAGAGGTTCAACCTCAAATGCACACTACTGCTTCTTACCCTTTCCTGACCCAGTCATTCAGTGAACTGATATTTCCAGGTGAAGAAAGAAAAGTGGGTTATGTTGTCCCTGTGTTCATTGATTCCAGTAGGCTAAATTTTGTGAAATATGTTCCTTCCTTTTCTCCTTACACACTCTTGGACCTAGGCATTCTTTTCAAATCACTTAACTGGAATTTCTACCAGCTACAAACTCTCTTTGTTTGCACTAGTTACTATGACTTTGCGGACTTCCTGTTCAGAGAATGACTGCCCTGGACAGCAGCTGGGCTAGCATCTATGGTAACTCTCTTACCGAGCAGACAATGAGATGGGCCCTCAGGGGCTTTGTGGCTTCCCACTTGGTCTCAAATCTAAACAGGAGGCAGCTCGTAACAGTCTCAGTTCCTTTGCTGTATATTTTCTTCTTGTGTATTTCCACCACAACTCATATACCTGATTTCTAATGTGCATCATGCCACACACAGACCGACAGACAGACAGGCATGCATGCAGACGCACACACACACACACACACACACACACACACACACTATTCCTCCTTCATCTTGTTCTTTTCTTTGAAAATTAGTAGTACAATGATAAATTAAGCAGTTATATCTTTTGGAAACAGAATCAGGCATACCTGCAAACATATAGTGGTTTCCAGGGGTCATGTTGAATGGGATTCCAAAGAGGAAAATTTATACTTATGTAATTCATCATGAGCATTTATGGTCTCCATTTAACAAAGATTAGTCCCAATCCCTTGAATTGCCCAACTTGGGAAGAAGGATGGGTTTTAGTGCTATTGCTGTGTAAATCTCCCAATAATAATTAAGTTTTCTCTCAGCATTTGTCCTTTGTGTCTCACTAACACTGCTCCTCAAGGTTAGAAGACGATACCTGGCCAAGCGTCTTCGGTGTGATAATTTTTAGAATTAGCTTAATTTCCTGTTTTGTTGACTAAGGAAATGTTGCCACAGGTTCACTTGAAAGCTTCCCTTAGAAAGCGACAGGATGGCTTTGCCATTCTCACACAGATTCTCTGTATAAACTTTAACCAAGAGAAGGTGCTTTGTGGGGACAACATTCCTGCTTTAAGTGTGTGACCAAGTTACACAAGTTCTCACAAGTTGTTCCTTTTATTCTAAGTATAACAAGGTCTTAGAAGTGTCCATGTTCATTGTAAAGAAACAACCCAAACTTGTTTTATTTCCCACAGGAAGTTGTCCTTGAAGAAGGAACAATTGCTTACAAAAACTGGGTTAAAACAGGCACCACTGTGTACAGACAGTTTTGGATCTTTGATGTGCAAAATCCAGATGATGTGGCAACGAACAGTGACAAAATCAAAGTGAAACAGAGAGGTCCTTACACATACAGGTGAGCGAATTCTTGAGACTGAGTAGTGTTCTCACCTCATTTCTGAGAAGTTCTCCTCCCAAGGAGCTCCATTGTATCGAAATGCATTGCCTTTCTTGCCATTAGCTTACTTTTTACCTTACCTGTAAATGGATCTTTTATCTATAGGTTTAACAACTCCTCAGGTTGCTATACATATATGGCATTCAAATGTTACCAGATTTTAATTGTGCAGAAAAAAAGTATAGAATTTACTATCAACATAAAGCTATGAAATAACTGTCCTCAACAACTCACAGATGTTTTGTTTGACATTTTTGCCATGTTCCTAACTTCATAGTAAGCATGTTGAAAGTTTTAAGTATACAAGATAAACATCGTAAAATGAAATAAGAATCTTACAACTGTGATTGCCAAGGCGTGGCTCTCGGCTGGGGACAATGGCAATAACACCAACCTCTACGCCAAGGGAGTCAAAGACTCTGCCTGTAGGTTTTAAACTCGCCTGTGTGTTTCAGATAAAGACTGTACTTTGAGAACTATAAGCTAAAATGATTTTGCATAATGGTAGTTCCTGTAAGTGCTGAGGTCATCTAGGTGTTGAGATTTACATAGCAATTTAAACCTATTTTCTCATTATCTTAAGTGTTCTAAGGGTTGGTTTAATAAGATTATAAATAGAATCTTAAATGAATGAGTCTAGGAGAGATAATCAGTCAGAAACTATCACTGTATGAAGAAGAAAACAAAGCAGACAGTGAAAACAGAAGATATTTGTCCACATTCACAGATATAGGTTTTCTGCATACATGTTCTTCTGTTAAAATCATAGATCCTCTTCTTTTTAACTCTCAAAGCTGTCAAAGGCACTGAAAAAACTAACCTAGCTGTGAATTAGGAATAACTTTATTTTCCCATGAGAACACTGTTAAGTATTTTGTATCATTCTTCATGCATTCATGTGATTTCCTCTCAAGAAGAAGCACAACTACTTATGTGTTCTAGGAGACCGCTAGTTAGTGCCCAGCTGATCAGCCCCGAAATAATCACACAGAAACCATATCATTTGCAATACTGATTGGTCAATAGCTTAAGAGTATTTCTGACTAACTCTTATATCCTAACCTAACCCATCTCCATTAATCTGTGTATCACCATGTGGCTGTGGCTTGCTGGGTAAAGTTCTGTCCTGAGTGTCTTTCTCAAGAGCTACATGGCTACTCACTGACTGTGCCTTCTTTCTTCCAACATTCAGTTTAGTTTTCCCTGCCTAGCTAAGTTCTGCCTTGCTATGGGCCAACCAGTTTCTTAATTCATTAACCAATAAAAGCAACACAAATACAGAAAGACTTTCCACGCCACTTATATAACATGATTAAATTATATCCATATTATTGTATTCCTAATTATCTTTATAATCCACAGTTGTAGTTCCTAAGCATTTTGTACATTATGTCATTGTCCACTTTTTTTTTATCCCTTTTAAAGCATGTTTCTGGATTAACATCTGACCCTCTAAATTATGAAGACAAAGCAGTAGTTGTTGTGAAGGTCATGCCTACTATACCAACATACAATCTATGGGCTAAAATGCTTTAATAGTTTTCCCTTTAGTGCAAAAATCACCAATTGGTGTAGGATGTGTTGCTTTCATTGACTGAAGAAAGAGACTATGTTGGCCTTTTGATAGGGCAGAAACTTAGGTAGGCAGAAAAGACCGAACTGGATGCTAGGAAGAAGAGCAGAGTCAAGCAGATGCCATGCTTCTCCTGCCCAAGACAGACATTGGTTAGACTCAGGCCGGTAAGTCAGGACCTCGTGGTGAATACAGATTTAATAGAAATAGGTTAATCAAGATGTGAGAGTTAGTCAATAAGAGGCTAGAGCTAATGGGCTAGGCAGTAATTTAATTAATACAATTTCTGTGTCGTTATTTTGGGGTTAAGCTAGCCAGTCGGTGGGACGCAGCCTGTCCTCCTTACTTCAACCGATTCACAATTTGACCAAAGAAGATTGTTTTTATAACTACAAAGAAAATATTTTATATTATAGCACTTATTAGGAAACTATGAATATCTAAATTCTAAGAAATGTGATGATATCTATGTTTGTATGTATGGTATCTAAGTTTGTATCTATGAAATCTGTAATCCATGAAAAGACTAGAAATAAAGTCTAAAATATATGCCTAAAATGACCAAGTGTGAGAAGAGAATAGATAATAGAATTTAAGAAATTTTCATATCATTTTTGTTGGTGTTGTTTAGAGATAATGATTCTCTGTTTGTTTTTTTTAAAATTTTTATTTGTTTAGCAATAATTATTTTCACCTTTAAGGGTTTTGTGGGTCTACAAAGAAGTGTAATCATAGCAATTAAGCCTAGTTACGTTCTCCTAGAAAGCATATGTGTGTCTATCCTATAGTCTAGCTCCTACATATAACTTAAAGGGGATAAATTAGGTACATCTTTTTTGTTTGTCAAGGCAACAGTGAAGGTTGGCAAGGAGTAGGATTTATAGATACAATTTGCAGACAGCAAGCTCTCCTTTGTATGGCAATTTCAAATTGGCCTTGATGAAGAATGAGTCACCTTGTCTCATGGCATCAACAAAACGGAATTTCTTTAGCTTAGCTGGCTTAGGATCTTTGAAATAAGTGGAGGATAAGTAACTGCTTTTAAAAAAAAATGTTACTATTTTGAAGGTTTTCTATATGTCAGGTGAAATCACGCCTGGCTCTAAATTCATTTTAAATTGACGCTGGAAAGAAATATGCCTCCTAAAACAGAACTACTGGTTGATTTGGCGAAGAAGTGCTAGAATAATGGGGAAGCATTGATTGATAATATAAGACATGGTCAAAGCATAAAATTACCTGGTTTAATATCGTAATTATACCCCAACCTGCCATGACTCTGATTACTATAGTCCCTTTGGTTATTTTAAATTTATCTATTCTTTGACAAAAATACTAATGAAGGCATCAAGTAAACATCTTTGGTAACTTATTTCCCTTAATCTTATTAACTAATACATTCCAAGGTTTCCTTTTTAATTGAAAAAGAGAGTGATTATGTTCTTTCAAAAGAACTTTTCTTAGAGGAGACAATATTTTACTGATTTTTCTCTTACTGAGTGCCATCTACTGGATTGAAGTTGTAAGTATTACTAAAGGGAAAAAATACCCAAAATTATTCAGGTTTTGTTTCACTTAGTCATAACTGCATCAAAGTTTCTGCAATTCCTGTAGGCTTGCTTGATTTATTATTAACATGTACCTTAATTTTAAAATAGTTATTTTAGGACAAAATAATTATTAGGAATTTAGTGCTTGAGAAGTTTCAGATTTTCTTAGGTTGCTTAAGTATCTCACTTAACAGAGAATAAACAATAAAGGTATCACTATTAAAATAGGTTCCTATTTTTACTTAAACCACGTTTAGAAGTAATATGGCCATTACCTTGCTTATTCATGGAGAAGCTAGAGTCAAGTGTGATGGTTTATCTTTGTAACTACAGCACTGGAAAGGTCGGCATATAAATAATTTATGTCCTTCCCGTCCAACATAGTTCAAGGCCAGCTGAGCTGAAACATGCCAAGAAGTAAAAAACAAAAACAAAAATACTGAAAATACCCAAAGTCACAATGTGCATGGAGACCCATGATTTATATTACACAGGAATTCACATTTCATATCAAACCTGTAGGCTCATGCTTGCTTCAGTCTTTACAGTAGTTATAACTCTCCTCATTTACTTGGCATCCAAATATAGAAAAGTGTTCTGGGGATGTCTGCCTTATTTTACTTTAATGGATAGCTTGTACCAACAAAGTGATTTTTTCTACAAAGCATTATCTTTTAAGACAGTCATGAAAATATTGCAACTGTTGAGCCAAGAGATTAGAAATAAGAACTCAAGAGATAAAACGAAGGAATAGAATTAGTTCTGGACCCCTTTAAATAGACTCTGTTGCTCCTTGTTGCTTTCACAAATGAACTTACAGCGTGAGTGTTGGATAGACTACACACTTTAAGAGGTCTGTCTAATATGAAAAATACAGTCCTTACCCTCAGAATAAAGACCACTATTTAATTATATAACCCTTTTATTTTTAAAATCTCATTTTTGCTTTTATTACCACCAGCTGTTTTTCTCTCACTCCATAATTAAACAAAGCTCAAACACTTGAATTTCTCAAACCACATCATCATCATCTTCAGTATTTTGAACTTGCTACTTTTAGTTCTTTTTATGTACATTTCTATTAATTTGGACCATCACATAGAATTATTACCAAAATGTCTTCAACCCATTCCACTTTGATTTCCCAAGACCATCATCTATTTTAACCTAGTCCTTCTCCACTTTCCTATTCCCAGGTTTAAGACCCTTTCTGATTAGACTTCCAGAGATGCAGTGTTAAATAGTTATTTACCTTTGTAATTCTGTGAGTTGGTGTAAATTGCTCTGGGTTAAAGTAGTTGTTGAATGAATAGAGACATTTGATATCTAGTGGTCACAGAGTACATTGATTTCTCCCCATTTTGTTGGTTTCTCTTTATTTCAGAGTTCGTTACCTAGCCAAGGAGAATATAACTCAGAACAGTGAGGACAACACTGTCTCTTTTGTACAGCCCAACGGAGCAGTCTTTGAGCCTTCGCTGTCTGTCGGAACAGAGAATGACACCTTCACAGTTCTAAATCTGGCTGTGGCAGTGAGTGTATAGCTACCGTATAGAAGAGAGTGCAGACCCTGTCACACACAGTACATCTCATAATGACCTTCATCACTTGGCTTTAGCTATCTTATCACTTATAAAAAGAATGAGTTTATTTTATTTTGTCAACTAGAAAAATGACACAGTCACAATAATCGACTTAAGTATCATTTAAAAACAGCTCTTAATGTGAATGTCTTCCTGTGGCTAGAAATTATTCAGAAAAAAAATGTAATCATGACAGAATTAGAAAAATGACACAAATTATAACTTTTGTCTAGACAGAATTTGACAGATTTTTGAAGTCTTTGTTGTATTTTAATTAAATTTAATTGTTATCTTTCGTCCACTTATTTAAGAAATGGCATATACCGATTTCTCAAACAGTGATCTATGTTTTGTAGGCTGCGCCACATATCTATACAAACTCGTTTGTTCAAGTTGTGCTCAATTCACTTATCAAAAAGTCCAAGTCTTCCATGTTCCAAAATAGAACCTTGAAAGAACTGCTGTGGGGTTACAAGGATCCATTTCTGAGTTTGGTTCCATATCCTATTTCTACCACAGTTGGTGTGTTTTATCCTGTAAGTATCAAATATATATGAGTACATTGTTATCTTTTAATTATGGAAATAAAATGACATTAGGGAAAATTTATAGTTTTTCATATGAGCCTTATTAGTTAATCTGAGAATATATAATTAATTCATTTTAAAGTCTCAACCTTATATGCCATAAGTTTTGCTAGTAAAAAATTATTCAATGAGTTTGACTAAACTCATCTTAATTTAAAAATTAATCAAATTTTGATTCTTAAAAACAACTGAAAATTTATTTGTAAATCTTTGTATGTTGTGTTTAATTTTAATTATTGGTTCTGAAGAATCAAGGTTAATATTATGTTTTTGTTTTAAAATTCAAACATATTGATTATCTCCTTCCTCATTTTTTAGACCGTTAAATTTTTAAAGGACTAAAAACTACTGTGAATTTCTACTTGAGATATTCAGCAAGCTTCACTTACTGAGGCTCGTGCCTCAGTTTCACAGAACAGTGATTAGTGATAAAGAAGGTGTACCTTCCTGCTGTATGTAATTGTATGTAGCTACAGCTCTAAGTTCTGAGTTACAAGTATGACGCCAATCAAATGTCTGCTTTGACTGCTATATCATTGGACACTGTATAGAAATATTACTTGGGTTTTCCATTTCCTTATTGTTAGTGTTTCAGGTTATACAGATATATACTAGTTAAATATTAATTGGGAACCCTGAAGGAATTATTTTCAATTATTATTTGAACCAAATTATCACAGCACTTTCTTTGGCTAACAGAATCCTTAATTTTGCTTGAGTAATCTTCTTCCTATTAACAATTTGAAAATTTAGAATACTTTTAGAAATCTTTTGTTATTCTCGTAAGTTTAGCTCAACGTGTCCTCACCAGAAAATGCTAGGGACAGTGAAGAACACTAGCTCTGGTTGCTCCACGGCAGTGCTGGAGCCTGGTGCCCTTCAGTGTCTGTTAGTTATTTTTCTTATATTTTATCTCAGCACCTTGCAGTTATTGCTAGGCAACTTTTATATTGTACTATTAAAATATTTAACAATATAAAATGATGGTGAATGGCCCCTAAATGAGAAATGTGAAAGGGAGTTAGATGCACATGTTGTGACACATTAAATAAGACTTGATCTATGAGTGATTTTTTTTGTTTCTATTTTTCAGTACAATGATACTGTAGATGGAGTTTACAAAGTTTTCAATGGAAAGGATAACATAAGCAAAGTTGCCATAATTGATTCTTACAAGGGAAAAAGGTAGTAACGCTGTTTTTATTATATGTGTTTGTGTGTCTATGTGTCTGTGTGTGTGTCAGAGAGAGAGAGGAAAGGAGGGAGGAAGGGAGAGAGGGAGGGGGGGGGGGGGGGGGGGGGGGAGGGAGGAAGATAGATTAGGTTGTTCTTCAGAACTGTTAGTATTATTTTACTACTACTGCTATGTCAGCATCATCAGTCTATGAAACAGATGTGGCTATGGAGCATCCTGGGCAATTGTGATATAGGCATTAAACCATTCTTCACGCCACTTTCTTGTTCTTACAGTCTGACTGACATTCAGCAGCACCAACACATGAAAAGTTTGCCTTTATTCATTCCTTCTCTTAGACAAAGAGATGCAGTGTTAATTTTTATCTCTTTGGCATGTCTAGCATTACAGCGAGCCCATACAATTAAGTAATAACCAATTAAGACATCAATACAATCTATGAGGTAGGCAAATAGATCTTTCCATGCCTTTTTAAATGAGCATATGAAATAAAATTTGTACACTGCAGTGTTATGTTTTAAATGATTCCAAACAGGAAAATGCTTAATGAATCCAAGCACTTTTACAATTTCCCTGCCGTGCCAATATTTTTTCTACTGATAGAAAATGGAATTCGCATTTCAATAGAGTAATAAATCTCACAGTGTCTCACCTTTGGAAAAGTGAAAGAACAAAATAGGTTCATGATGCCATACTTTACTTTCTCACAGTTTCTGACAGTTCATTTGAAACATTTTTTTATTATTTATTTCTGTAAAATATAAAGAAGCCAAATAAGTCCCGTGAGAAAAAAAAAACTTTTTTTTCTATGTATGCAATAATTCCATGAAGACCACTAAAGGTAGATTAAAATTGTAAATGATTTTCTTAACAGACATAACTATTACATCCACCTGTTCCCTTACATAACTCTAACATCCAATGAGTAAGTGTTTCCTGGAGTATGCTTTTGCTTCTAAAGAAGAAAGAAGTTCACACTCACATGGTTTTATACAGAAGTCTGGTGGAGAAAAACAATTCTATGTGTTTCCTTCTCGGTTCATCATATAAAAGCTTGCATGTTGAACATTGCTCATACTTCCTGGGTTTCAGACTGTAGATTGGGGTTGAAAAGTGTTGTCCAATCATGGGGGGGGGGCGTTGTTAGAACTAAAGGTGGTTGATCCGTGAAGATGTCAGATTACTCATTGCTTTAACCCCTTGTGCCCAGCCTGAGTATGATTGGCAGCACTTCCTTTGAAAACGTAAGCCACAGTGTATCTTGAAATCCTGGTAGACTAGCTGTGTTAGAGGAGTAGACAGCACTAGCTTTTCTCACACTCAGAATGGTAGGAGAAGATTCATGGAGATTTAATTCTATTGCTTTTAATCACACACACACACACACACACGTTAGATAAATTAGATAATAAAAGAGAAATAGGTTCTATATCATTCTAATACTGGTACCTGGTAATGCCAAAGTGGGGAGAATGTAAAACCTGCAAAAAGCACAATGCAGAAAAGGAAAAGATTAAATATTTACATATTTAAAACCATATGCATCCAAACAGGTGCTATTCCTCTTTCTTCCTTTTTTCTCCCCCTTCTATATCAGGGTGAGCTTATGTCAGGAACTTCCTCAACAATTTGAAGTATGAACAAGTGGACAGACTACTACATAGTGCATTTCTCCCAGGGGAACAAATTCCTGAGTAGAGAACTACACTCCTCTCGTTTTCTTGCAGAACTGTGTCAATCCGAGTGGTTTCTATTGAACTTGGCACTTAGCAGCTTGTGTTTTAGATCCGTCCTGTTAAGGTTCCCAGTACTTCCTTTATTGCAATAAGATTAGAGGATCAAACAATCGTGGACTGAACGGTGTGGAGTTTTTATTAAATCCTAGCTGTCATCACCTCTATTCGTCATTACGTTGATGAAAGTAGTGTTTCAAAGAAGAAAGCATGGTGTGAACATGGTGTTCTTGAAATGGGAGTGTTTGCTCATCTTATTTCTTTTATTCCTAAGGAATTTGTCCTATTGGCCAAGTTATTGCGACATGATTAATGGCACAGGTAAGAACCTTTGTTGTAATAACCAAACTGAGAAAAATCTCACCTTCTCCCACAAGTCTACATCACTCCCAGCCAAAGGGATTCTGATGGTTGAAGGACAGTATTTATCAAACACCATATTTGGGAGTATTTATCTTTGGGCAGACTCAGAAAGGGGCTATCTTCTTAAAGTGACAGAACTTTTAGATTAACCACAGATCAGTCTTGTTTCATTGCTAGAAAAGTTTTGTAAAAACGCTGCTTTGTAAAAATATCGCACTTAGTAAGCTGGTGCCCAGCAAGTAGTTAAAAACAAATGTAGAGGTATAATTAATAGTTGGTGCTATCTCGATATTAGATTGATAACTTAGATGTGAAAAGATATCCTTTCAAAAAGGAAAACATAACACCAATGCAGAGCTGAGATGGAGGTGGTAAGATTGTAGAACAGATGCAACCTAATTTGGACAAGTTGGTTAGAATGGGCAAAAAGCAAAAATGAAGCAAAATTAGATGTCTACTATCTGTGAAGAATATATGTTGAAATGTGTTCTCTAAATTAGATTTAACATGCAAAGAAACAGATGAAATCTTTGATTTAAGATATAGGTAGGTTGGGCTTCTTATTGTCCTCAAAGAAATGCACAGTACACACTGTCCATTCGTGAAAGAAAAATGATTGTACAATACAATGGTAATCAAATATCATGAAGTAATTCAAGTCAAAGATAAGCTTCTCATCACTATGAGGCACATGCCTAATGTTTACGAAGTAGATGAGGAAATACTTAATGGGGAAACGAAATAATGAAGATAATGAAACTTAAATAAAGGAAACACGGGGGCTGTTTACCTTTTCCAAGGCGTAATTGAGATTTGCGAGTTTATTTCATTCTATCCTGTCTCATAGGGTGAAAAAGGTAGGACAAAGCCATTAATGTTTTCCAAGGCCCTTCTCCAAATAAATTTTCAAGGATTTCAACACTTTCATAGTTTCATAAACCTAATAATCTTTAGACAAAGAGAAATACACTATGCTCTTCTTAAACAGTCAGGAATGCTCTGTGTATGAGAGAAAAAAAATCATTAAGGACTCTGTTTGAAACTAAAATTGATTTAACTAATGAAGACAGAGCTTTGGGAGTTTAGTCATGGCGCTGATAAGAACATCAGGCATGAAGCTGGGAATATAGAAGCAGACTAAAGAAGTAAAAATGCGCAGAAATAGAGATGAGTGGACAAGGAAAGATCCATGTGAGAGGAACACTTGAAATGGGACCAGGAGGGAGAAAATGGCCACCGGAACAAAGATGCCAACGTGTGCCTATCGTGATCTAAAGCTGCATCCTCCTGCAGTTTGGAGCACATCCTTTCACAGGATGGATGCACCTTGAGAATGTTTCCTCTCAGAAAAGCAACTCTCTAGTACAAGAACCTTGAGGGGTCCTCAGAGACCATGGGAAAACAAACAAACATATGAACACAGTTGAAATGGTGAGCCGTACTTGTAATTCTGCATCTGGGAAAGTTGAGAGGAGTGGATCCCTGGAACTCACTGGCTGGCATGCCCAGTCTATCCAGTAAGCTTCAGGTCCCAGTAAGAGACCTTGGTTCAACAATGAAGATGCCAATATATCATAGGAACGGTCTCTAAGTGACTTACTAATATTCTTTTCCTTTCACCCTCTTGAGCTAAGCCCAACAGTTCAAATCATGTCTTCCATGCTCCTACCAATATGGCCCATTAAGCCCTACTTAAAACATTCCACTGCTTTTCTAAGCCAAAGTCCCAAACTCCACATTTTGTCAAGAAGCAGCATAGTCAGGTCTGTCGAAGCAATACCAATTCCTGATACCAACTCTGTCTTAGTCATTATTCTATTGCTGTGAACAGGCAGCAGGGTCATGACAACTCTTATAAAGGAAACTATTTATGTGGGGCTGGCTTATAATTTCAGACGTTTAGTCCAGTGTCACCATGGAGGGGCACATGACTGCATACAGGCAAACATAATTTTGAAAAAAATAGAATTCTACATTCTGAACTACAGGGAGCAGTATGAGTGAGCCACTGGGCCTGGTTTTGGTTCTTGAGACCTGAAAACCCACCCTCAGAGGTATATTTCCTCCAGCAATGCCACACCTACTCCAACAATCCCTACTCCTAATCCCTCCCACATAGAGCCATTCCCTGATGACTAAGCATTCAAATTTAAGCATGTAGGGACTTTTGTTTGTTTATTCAGGGTTATATTTGTTGTTTGCTTGGGATAGGGTTTCTCTGTGTAGCTTTGCCCGTCCTCGAACTCACTCTTTAAACCAGGCTGGACTTCACTTCACAGAGATATTTCTGTGTTTGCTGGGATTAAAGGTATGCGCCACTACTACCCAGCTAAGGGGCCACTCTCATTCAAACCACCACACTCCTTGCAGACAGACTCGTGGGCCAATATGATCTAGGCTACTCTTCAATGGAGACTTCCCACTCACAGCACTCTAGGCTTCATCAAATTGACAAAGATGGCTGTCACATCCGTTGTGATTGAAATGTGCTCTAAGCATGCGTTACCTTGACAATGAAAGATATTTGATTATGTGTTTAAGACAATAATATGTATGTGCTTGAATAAATGAAATATAATTTTTTATTTTCTGAAGACAGCTAACCCACTGGTAACTTTAAAATCGTATATACAATTCATGTTTTATTTTTCCTGACTACACTGGAAAGAGTGATTTCTAGACTTTGCTAGGCTTCACATCACATAAAAAAAAAAAAGCTTGTCATTGGCTTGATTTCTAACAGACGCAGCGTCTTTCCCACCTTTTGTTGAGAAGTCTCGGGTGCTGCGGTTTTTCTCCTCTGACATTTGCAGGTAAGTTTCTGGAAGGCAAACATTAGACTTCTCCATTCCAGCCTTAAAAAAAGATGGACAAATATTTTTCTTGATTTTTTAAGATTCATTTGTTACAAGGCTGTGTCAATGATTCCCACAGCAAAGTTGTTTTTAAACTTGAGGGTATTAGGATATACCCATGAGTACTAGACCCCACCCAACTACCCCGATCCTCAGTCCTTTCGCTGAAGAAGAGACTACAGTCAATCTTTAGACCCCTCAGAATGTATAAAGCTTCTGAGAACAGGGCTGCTTCATATAGGCTTGGCTGGGGGTCAGAGAGAATAGCTAATTATCTGTGACACTCTGAACAAGGCATGGAGGGCAGGGGCTGAACGGTAGAGATCTGTTCCATGCACACACCCCACCAGGTGAGCAGCTCTTCCTCTAAGCTCTTTTTGAGCGATGGAAATTTCATTTAAATTGAGCACAAATAAAGAATTTGAATAAGTCAAATACATGTTTGTTGCATAGAAGAATTTAACTATGGGAAGCATCTCTGATATTTATTCCCTGTAACAGTTCACATATAAACCTGACCCTAGAAGATTTTTAAGAACTAAAGAATTCCTGTTTTATACTCATGATTTTAAACATGGTATGTTGTAAATTGTAAAACCATAAAAAAAGGAAATCAATATTTTTTTCTAAGAATAATTCCATCAGGAATGTGTGACTGCTTTCTAAGTTAAACCAAGAATATAAACTAGATTTAAGAAATAGAATCAGATCTGCAGAATGGGATTCTGGATCATAGGATGAAACTCTTTCTTCAAATATCCATGTAGGTCCATCTACGCCGTGTTTGGGTCTGACGTTGACCTTAAAGGAATCCCCGTGTACAGATTTGTTCTTCCAGCCAAGGCCTTTGCATCGCCGCTCCAGAATCCAGACAATCACTGTTTCTGCACTGAAACTGTCATCTCAAACAACTGTACATCATATGGTGTGCTAGACATTAGCAAATGTAAAGAAGGTATAAAGATTGCTCATTATCAAAGCTCCTGAACATTTTTTTTTATTTAATAATGTTTGGGAGTTTAATTCATAAGTTGTAACATACAAAAATTAGATAGAGCTAATACATAATACATTGTATTATGAAAATAAGCCATATTCAGGAAGCTATATATCACCAACTTTCTCATATATGCAGAATATAGAGTTAAATCGCCCCTTCTCCTGTGTGTGTCTGTGTCTCTGGCTGTGCATTATCTGTGTGTGTCTCTGTGTGTGTGTGTGGCTGTGCATTGTGTGTGTGTCTCTGTGTGTGTGTGTGTGGCTGTGCATCGTGTGTGTCTGTGTGTGTGTGTGTGTGGCTGTGCATTATCTGTGTGTGTCTCTGTGTGTGTGTGTGGCTGTGCATTGTGTGTGTGTCTGTGTGTGTGTGTGGCTGTGCATCGTGTGTGTCTCTGTGTGTGTGTGTGGCTGTGCATTGTGTGTGTGTCTCTGTGTGTGTGTGTGTGTGTGTGTGGCTGTACATTGTGTGTTTGTCTGTGTGTGTGTCTATGTGTGTCTGTGTTGTGTCTGTGTGTGTGTGGCTGCACATTGTGTGTATGTGTCTGTGCATCGTGTATGTGTGCAGTTTTGAAAGTGTAATGGACACCATACTAAAGAAGGTGGGAAAGACAGAAAGAAATTCCGGGGACGAGAAAGCTTGAATGAGGGCTGCTAGGTAGGCAGAAGAATCCAGAGACAGGAGATGGATGAATAAGACTGTATCCTGACAAACACCCATAATTCACTTTTTATTGAAGATTTAAAATAAAACAATGGTAAGAGAAGGTAACCTTCGATGGCAGTGGATTTCATGCCTTTATAAGTTATTTCTAGGCTTCTGGAATGTTTCGGTATTGCAAAATTGGTTATTAGGAAAACCACAATGCTACTATACCATGTTGTTTTGATGGTTAGGGAAAAGTGAAAATTCCCAGGATACATCAAGCCCCCTAACCATCTGCAATGGTTGTAGCTTTTGCCCTTGGAAAACAGAGACTAAAATTAAATACGCTTTCACTGTGTCCCTAAAGAAAGAAGTGAAAAGCTGTCATGCATGTCTTGTTCACACTCTGTAGTACAGTGAGGCTAGAGAAAGAGCAAACCAGAGAGACAGGCAGTGCTGCCATAGCATCGTTGGAGTCTGAGAACATGGACCAAGTCCATATGAACGTCGGTCTAATTTGGTTCAGTGGTGAACATTTGAATTCTGGAATTTAGTGTGTGAAGAAGCAGACATCAACTGGCTACTTAATGAGATATCACAAATTTTACGTTGTTTTGCATAATAATGACCAGATGCAATACTCTTGCCTCAGCATTTCAAAATCAAACGATATAGTAACCTATAAAAGCTTTATGCACTAGCAAGTATTTTAAACAACATATAAATATATATATATAGAAACCTATTTCTAATTGTCTCTTAAAATGTGTCTCCAGGAAAACCTGTGTACATATCCCTTCCACATTTCCTGCATGCAAGCCCTGATATTTCAGAACCTATCGAAGGATTAAGTCCAAATGAAGAAGAGCATAGGACATACTTGGATGTGGAACCTGTAAGCCATTGTCTAATTGATCTGATTTGGATACTAGTCTAAAAATTTTAAGAAAATAAATTGTCTCATAATCTTGAATCATATCCGTAAGATCACTGGAACTGCCAATGAGACTAGGGCTTATTTCCTCCTATTTGAATGGATAAACGGCATGGAAATAAATTTTGATTTTAACACATAAAACCTCATAAGACTTTTACTGACCCTTGGAACCAGAAATTATAATTGTAAAATTTACTGTAGTTACCTTACAATTGTATAATATCATCATCATTATTTTACTTTACTGGTATTTTTTTTTTTTGAGGAATCACTGCTAGCAGGGACTTAAGATATTTTGATTATATGTAAGTTTCAGACAAAATCTATAAGAAAAAAATGTGTAAAGCTGCCATAGAACTACTATTAACATTTAAATTATCTTGATTTTTTTTTATGTTTGTAGCTCAATAGTCTAACATTTACCAGGCCTGTAAGCTCTGCGAGTAGCTCTCAGCATCTAATAACTGTAGGAGACTCATTTCTGCTAAAATAATGGAAGTTTATAACATTGCTTTTTACTAATATGTGAACTGTAACAAAATAAAAATTGGAACACATAGTTCAGGAACTAAATTAAATATCTGAGTTTGCCTTTTTAAATTGCTTTACTAATGTTTTTGATTTATTCAAAACCAAATTATGTAGATTTGATAATTTAAACGAAGCTAATTCAAGAAAATTCTTTCTTTCTCCAAATATATGCATGTATGTATGTAAGTATATATATATATATATGAGCATATGTTATCTCTTTCTCCATATATGTGTATGTATATATACATACATATGTTATGTGTGTAGGTCAGTGTGTTCATACATATGCATGTTGGACATGATTACATATACTTATGCTAAAGGTTTTATAGAATCTAATTTCCCAGCTTTAAGAATTCTTCCATTTCAAATTTAAAAGGACTCTTTGTGTTACAGAAAAGGTAAAATCTGACTATTATAAAAGAATGTTTTAGAAACTTGTAATTATTTAATTCTGTCCTGTTTAGATAACTGGATTCACTCTACAGTTTGCAAAACGACTGCAGGTCAACATACTGGTCAAGCCAGCCAGAAAAATCGAGTGAGTCTCCTTAACTTTGCTGTTTTTATGCAATCGGTAGCATTTCTTGTAAAAATGTGAGTAGATTAGTGTTAATGAAAGTGGAAAAGACATCTTCTGGTTTTTCATTATGCCATTACACAATTATTACATAAACAGGACACTTTTTACTTGAAGAATCACATCTAGTGCTTGTTAAATGGCCTGTAGATATTTCAACTACTGTTAGTTGGATGTCATTGGGGGCACCTCTTACATACATTATATCCAATTATTACTACTGCAGTAACTTCTAGGTCATATACTTTCTTAGATTAAAAATTATAGCTATAAACTAATAATCCAATAAGAAATCTGCATTAGATTATATGAATGGACAGTCTGAAAAACATCTGTGTTAAAATTGATTCATTGAACAGAGCAAAATCAAGGAACTTGAACAATCACAAGACTAATTGAATTCTGAAAAATTAATTTGAAACATATTTTACATATGTAAAAATATACCAATAATTTTTTGCTGTGTATTATAGAGCATTGAAGAATCTGAAGAGACATTATATTGTACCTATACTTTGGCTTAATGAGGTTAGTATTTTATTATTCATTAACAACAATTTTCTGTAAAAACTTTTGGGATTTAAAATGGCATGTGTATGATAATATTTGAGGATGTATTTACATTTTCTATAAACATGATCTTACACTTTGTTATATCTATTAGAATAAAAAGTATATTACACAGAATTGTTTGATAAGTTTTATGGTTTATTTTTTAGACAGAAAAATAATTTTGTATATTTTACTTGTCATAGTAAAAAGAGAAACATACATACATGTAATAGGGCAGAATTCAAGACTTGTTGAATATAACAGTGGTAATGAAAAAATCAATTATTCCTAAACAGGACATATGAGAGTGGACTGACGATTGACTGATAAACTATTTCCTGTCAACTGCTAAAGTGATTAATCACAGAATTAGAAAGTGCTTTGCATAAACCCTCACAGCAGTACAGCTGCTGACCTTTGCAGTTTCTCCCTGACACCAGGGAGCAGCATTAGGAAAGCTGTGGAATATTTCAAAGAATTCCCATGATCAAATGAATGCTAGTGCACTGCTGAGTTCCATCCAGCATGATCAAAGTAGGACAGGCATCTCTACCGTTCACTGGCTTGTTCAGTGTGTCTTACTTGTAGATGCGAAGTGAATTTTACTGACTGGCTGATGCAGCCGATACCTATGCATGGGTTAAACAAGAGGACGGTATAGACTTATTTTGTTTCGTTCATTTACTCCCATAATATTAATTGTCAACTTGGTTACAGACTGGAACTATTGGCGATGAGAAAGCAGAAATGTTCAGAAATCAAGTGACTGGGAAGATAAATCTTCTTGGCCTGGTTGAAAAGGCCTTGCTTGCGGTTGGAGCGGTGATGTTTGTTGCTTTTATGATTTCATACTGTGCTTGCAGATCCAAGAATGGAAAATAAGTAAGTGCTCCAGAACAGGGTGTATGCTTTAAAATATTTTAATCTTGTCAAAATGGTTATAAATTAGGGCAAAAAATATTTTCAGACATGGCTAGTCAAGTACAATATCTTAATAAATATCTCAATGTTTGATAAGTTTATGAATTAAGAAACAAATGATTGAAATTATGACCATTGTAAAATTAGTGCAAATATAGCTTTTGTCCAAATTTAGACTTACTCATTTATTTTATGTCAGTTATTAAAAATTACAAGTAATTACAAATAATTTGTAAAATTAAGCAATTTCAGTAGCTTGAAAGTCATAAAAGCAATACAAAAAGATGAAGATGCAGGTATATATATATATATATATATATATATATATATATACATTTTGATGAAACACAGAGGTCAACAAACTATCTTCATAAAACTTAGATGTACATGTCAGCCGGGTCTTTTCCCAGCCATGGGTTAATAGCATGATATTCTGATGACAAACTAAAAATCACTATGTGAAAATTAAAACATAAAAATAGAAGAAAATCAGCTATTTAATTAACTGAGTCACCCAGTTTAAAGAAAAATTATGTAATTGTAGATTTTATTTATGAGTCTTGGCAAAATTGCAGAGGCTGTTCAAGACACAGTCGTCTAGATATTAGTGCCCATGTTTTTCTCATAAACAAAAATGAAAATCGAAGGTACTTACCCTGGCTTAAAAGTGAAATAAGTTTGAAGGAAAACTTCCCAACCTTTTCTCCCCAAATGCAGCACGAGTAGAAAAGGCCTGGTTTGAAAAATCACAAGTTCAAAATAAATCACTTCATTCTACTGAAGCTAAAATTGGTCATAAATTGTCTTATATAGAAAAGTTTGAGTTTTGACACCAATAACTGATATTGAACAAATACTGATCATACTAAACATTTTACATAAATCCGTAATTGAATTTTATGTTTCCAATAATCTGAATTAATATATCTTCTGGAAACATTCTAGAAAATCATAACAAATATCAAATTATCTATGGTGAAATCTAAGTTAATCATATTAATGTTTCCAAAAATAATGCAGAAGTTGGTTATGAATATTTATTTTATGGAAAATTGAACATTTCTATTGAGGAAGGCAACTCTGGATCATTTCTGCCACTCTTCCTAAAATGTGTTTGCATAACATGTGTTTACAATGATAACCTAACATATCTACAATTTAATAATTAAAATAGTAGCTGGAGAGGTGTTGGGGCACTTAAGAGCATCATTGCTCTCCCAGAGGACTGGTAGATGGCTGCTAATTCCAGGTCCAGGGAGTTGATGGCCTCTCCTGGCCTCCACTGTCATTGCATGCTCATAATGATACACAGATATACATGCAGGCAAAATACCCAGACACATGAAATAGAAACAATTAAATCTACTGCATTAAAAATATTATCTTTAATAAAAATGATGAAAAAAAATTCTACCCTCCAAAATGAAAATACTATCTCCCATTAGCCCGACAGTGAGTTATGATGTGTATTCTTATGTCTATAATAGATTTAAAAGACTACTAAGTTTGATCAAATCCCTGTTCAAGTACAAAAGAATGCCTATAAAAGTTACAATTTTGTTTACTTGCATGAATAACTTCATCATTCCTTAATGATCCTTGGATGTAAAGGTTCTTAGGTTCATATATGACAAACTGATAAAAAGAATTAAAGGCTCCTAATGTCTTCATCACTGTCTGTTTTGTTAATGCTTTTCACTGTTGTAAAGAAGGAAATAGTATTTTTAGAAAGCATTTTTCCCCCAAACAGACTTTTCCTTCACAATAACTTGACTGTGCTAGAATTAGAATTAGGAGGGCCAGGTTTGTTGAAATAATCACTTGGGGCCATTGTAAAATTTATGTCTCTGGCTAAATCTGCGGACAATTATAAAAGGAAATAGTCATTTAAAAAGGAATAACGTGCTAAGGAGAATGTGGTTTGTCGCATACATTGCAAGGGGAATGAATACACGAAGCTCAGTTCGAATCTAGTGACACCTGCACCTCTCCGCGGAAGACAGTCTCGAGTGCATTGTGATGCTCGGCAGCAGATTTAATTAGCTGCCCCCCCCCCCCCGGACTTATTACGCTCAGCTCCTGGGAGTTCCTGTACAGGTTTCAAAGTGTCATTCTTGAATGGGAACATGTGTCCCTCGACGGTGAAACTCTTAGAGCCCGTTTCGCTTTAGCTTGAGACATCGGGCTGGATAATTGAAAACGTATCTTGACTATATATGAAAAGATTATTTTAGCTTTGTATTACCCCACTGCTTTCTGACTGGCAATGTTTTTTTTTCTCTTCTTTACAGGTAGTAAACAAGCCTACATTTATTCACCAGATACATAAAGATCTTTGATAAAATCAATCTACAAATGAAGACTTAATATATACTTTTTTTTAACAAAACACACCTATCTTTAGTTTAAGAAATGGTGATGTGCTCTCTCTCTCTCTCTCTCTCTCTCTCTCTCTATATATATATATATATATATATATATATAAAACCAAAGCATATATCTAAGAGATTAATATGTCACTATAGTCTATTTTTTAATACAATCCAATACTTTGTAAAGTCCATCATTTGTAACCCTGAGTGGACTTCCGTTTCTGTGAAAACAGTTCTTCCTGTTTGGTTCTGATTTATTGCTGTGCTCCCTGACAGCAAATTTCAAGAGTGTACATTCTAAGCAATTTTTCTTTTCCTCGTTGGAGGGAAAACATTGTCATGTAGGGGGTGCCACCCTCATTTACAGCAAATATAACTTGGGACTGTTAGCACATAGAATCTCATAAGTATGAACTAGTTTGAAGGACATTTAAGAATGGAAAATGAGCAATTGGCGTATGAGCCATTGATTATATATTGTTTAAGTTTATTCCTCTCTAGAGTTCTTGGCACAACAAGGACTGTGTGAGATATCACAGCAATGTTTTATTCTCTAACCCTAAGCTTATATGTATTGTCTCTCGTCATGAAACTGATATTTCTAGTGCACTTCAGCTCCTCGTTTTTAAAGTATGTTGTCATATCCCATGTTGCATTGCTCTTCAGAAACTGAGTAGGTTTTCCTCTTTCTGCTCGCCTGCAACTAATGTAACTTCAGAGAGCTGTTATAGTATGAAGAGATGTAAATGATAATAAAAAATTATTTTATGGAATATTACAAAAGCTAGAATATGCTTTAAAATGTGTTTGTGGTACTATCTCCTGATTTCATGGTCACCTAGAAAGGACTGGTTTCTAGTATTAAAAAGCATTGTTCCTTATATTTAAATTTTTGTCTAGTTCCTATTACATCACAGAATCTCATTTCCTGTGGAAGTATTCTGTCTAAAGCTATACATCTTTCTGAATTATTTAACCACTCTGCTATGTTTTAATCCAATTGGAAAGGACATTTGGTTCTGTTTCTAGCAGCACTGTGAGTCTAGAGGCCAATTTCTTTCCAGTGGGAGACATATAAATAGATTATTCTGCTTTCTTTAGCAGAGTGACCTGTAGTAAAGATTAGTCGCAACAAATTCTAATGTAGATGAGAAAATACAAACAACCAGCTTGTGTTTTATGTGTAGAAAGATAAAAGGAAATGGGAGACAACTCTCCTGTCTAGATACAAAAATCATCAAGATTAACATGACATCTTGGAGATACACCCAGGCACATACATACACATGGATTTGAAAAAGATCAAGAAAGAGTATATGAGAGGGTTTTAAGGGAGAAAGGGTATTGGGGGAATGAACTATAAACCTCAAAAATAAAAGAAACAATTTACATTAAGATTTTTTAAAAGCAATAACAACATCGAGATACAAGTTTTCAGGCTAATTTTTAGAATCCTATTAAAAACCTCCAGTTAAGCTAGCCCCTCTTAGGAGGAATGTCTCGGCTCTTGGAGGATGCCCAATGCATAAAGTCTAGTGCCTCTTCTTTTAATTGGAATGGAGAATAATCCCTCTTAAAACACCGACAGAAGTACCTTCACCAGAGTTCAGAAACAAGGGGTGAGGTCATGACACACGGCTGCGAAGTTCATTGGGTAACACCCAGATCTCTCTGTAAAGGGGGAAAAGAAGAGTCTGTGAGCGGACTGAGGGTAGGTGAGGACGGGAGCATGAGTGGTCAGATGGGGTGTCAGAGGGAGAGAGTAATGAAAGAGACTACTGGAAGGAGGACGGCACTTCAAGGTCAGGTGAAAACCTGGTGCTTGTGACTAGCCCACGAATCTGCAAATATGGCAGCCGCTCAGATTCCTAGCAATGGCACAGAGTCTGAACCGGCCATCTCCTGTGTCCAGACTGCTGCCTGTCTCAGCTGCCATCAGAGAGGCTTCATCCAGCCAACGGATGAAAACTGAATCAGACCCACATGCAAACATTGGCTGAAGAGGAGGAGAAAGGATTGTGGGAATCTGAAGGGTCGGGGATACCACAAGAAAACTCACAGAATCAATGAACCTGGGCTCATAAGGACTTACAGAGATTAAACTGACAACCAGGGAGCCTACACGGTACTGACATAGGCACTCTGCGTATATGTGACAGCTGTGTAGCTTGGTCCTCTTGCAGGATTCCTAACAATGAGAACAGGGCTGTCTCTGACTCACTGGTGTTTGGGACCCTATTTTACATAGTAGGTCACATTAACCAGTCTCAATACATGGGGAGCTGGTTAGTCCTACTGCAACTTGATATTCCATGTTTTATTGATACTCATGGAAAACCTATCCTTTTCTAAACAAAAATGAAGGAAGAGTGGATTGGAGTATGAAAACTGAGGGCATGGGGGAAGAATTGGGAGAAGAGGATTGAGGGGAACTGCAGCCAGGATTTTAAATAAATAAATAAACAAATAAATAAATGTATCGGAGAATAGAAAGAACAGTACACATTACTCAACTCACTTTGTCTTCAAACCCAATGAGAACAGCACCTACAGAAAGAAGTTCATTTTGTGGGAAAGGGAAACATGAACTTTAGACTTTGCTATAGATTTAACATGAGCTGTTCCACAGCAAAGCCTAACCTTGGGAGAACCCTATCTTCCATGTCCCTGTGGTGATGCAGTCTCCAAGAACAATCAGTGATTGTCACGTTCATCTGTACAACAAAATGAACTCATTACAGCTTGTAATGAATCTAGTTACTAAGAAGCTACAGTGGCTTTATACTTCAGGAAGAACTCAGGGATTGGGTGATTTCCTTGGCTGTGAGCTTCAGACATATCCCTGTGTCATGATATAACCAATGTGCGAAAAGATGGGGACACAGACAGATTATCTAGTAAGAATTCAAAATGTCAGCCTACAGATGTAGCAGCTTAAAGATGTAGGGAAATAATCAAACACAGTAAGAACAAACACACATCTGACAGAGATTGAAATATTAATAATATTCCAAATTTCTTGGAGCTAAAAAATAGAAAGAACATGTTAAAATTTTTCAGTAAGCTATATCAAGATCAGACTTGCTAAGCTGAAAAAAATGTAGAATCTGAGTGACATGTCACTAGAAAGTGCAAAACCCACCAAAGGACTCTGTTTATGTGAATCAAATATATGAATCTATATCTATATTAGACCTGCACAGATTTTCATTGTTATACCTTAAATAATGCAATAATTATTTCTTATAAGTATTCTAAAAGTACCTTGTAGTATATGAAAGAAGATAATTAGGATATAGGTAGATAATATGTAATTGATATAAGGGATTTGAGCACCTGCAGATCTGATATCGATGAAGTCCCGGGATCTCTACACATATTCATGAAGAACCCTAGAATCTATTAAACAAATAGAAAATAATGAAATGATATGAAGGAAACTCAGGTATTTAAGGTAAAACAAAATAAATGCTCAAGTCAAATAAAACAGAGATAATTGAAAAGATAGTACACTTGCTTAAAGAAACAGTAACATAAAACATTCCAGACTACTCAGGCCTGGGAAGCTGGCAGGCTAGCCTTAGATCTTCACCTCTCTTTCACTCTTCCAAGTTCAATCCCCACTCTCATCCCTTGGTCTGTAATAGAACTTTTAGTTAATACTTTCTGCCCTGATTCCCAGAGCACTAAGCAGATCCTGGTGGAATACCCTGATTTCTTCCCACCGGTAGACACCCTCAAAACCTAGCCTCCAAGCCCATCCCCATCCTAAGTATCTTTCATGAAATGAGACCTGTCTGCTACTAGCAGCACCAATTTACTTCAGAGAAGATATGGGCACTGAAGAAACTCCTTATGGAGTTTACTTTCATTATGGTAAGTTTAGCCACTGAGCAAAAAAACTGCTCTTGTCTTTGATGACTATATATTCTGCAGACTGGACATGCAGGATTCATGGAAAAGTGCCTGCTGCAAATTTTGCCTAAACAAGACAGGATGGTCATTCAGGGTTCCTGCGACACAGAAGAAACTGTCAGATATTTTGCAGGACACAGAAAGAAGCAACTGATGGATTTTATTAAAATAAAGTAGGACGGTCCTTCAAAATTCCAGCTTCACAGAAGAAACTACCAGGCATTCCTCAGGACACAGAGGAAATTGACTGATAAAAGTTGACAAAAGAGGCAGGACAGTCTTTGGAATTTCCTGCTTCATTGAAAAGTCTACCAGATACTATGGGCCTGTAGGCAGAAGATGGATGCCCCAATGTTGCAAAGGAACTTTGGGAGACCGTCTAGGTACTCAGATGTCATTTCTAGAGTTTTTGGAAGTTGTCTGCAATGTACTTTTTACTCATGTAAATAATATTATATTCTTCTGGTACATTTGATGGAGTTGAAGTCCAGATAGTGATAGCTGCAGTTTTTTGTAGAAATGATAGAAAGTATGTTATGTATAAAATGCTGGATTTATTAAGATAGGATAGATTATGGAGCATTTTCTCTAAATTTGCCAGAGACAACAATTTAAAATTAGTACATTGTGGATATAATCTTCACTCGATAATTGTGTGTATTGTATATAGACTTACTATGTTAAAGTTAAAACTTTTCATTTTTGTTGAGAGAGACAAAATGGGGAAACATTGGGGAATATTACTCTCATGTGTTTTACTTTTGTTTATCTGCATTTGTTTAACTCTGAAGCTGTGTTTACTGTGTCTGTCTAAAACACTTGATGATGCTAATAAGTAGATGAGCATCCAATAATGAGGCAGGAACAAGGATAGGCAGGGCTGGCAGATGGAGAGACAAGGAAGAAGAGGAGCAACAAGAGAACAAAGAGAAGAGGACACCAGGGGCCAGCCACCCAGCTACACAGCAAACCATGGAGAAAGAAGCAAAAGAAAGGTATACGGAAATAGAGAAAGATAAATGCACAGAGGCAAAAGTTACTCAGGATAATTTAAGAAAAGCTGTCAAGAAACAAGCCAAGCTAAGGCTGGGCATTCGTAACTAAGAATAAGCCTCCATGTGTGATTTATTTGGGATGTGTGTGGTGGGCTTCCCCAAAAAGCCAAAAGAGCAAAATCATTGTACAACAGTTGGAGGTCTCCATTAAAACTCTCCCCTTAGAGCTCAAGGAATCCCGTCGTAGCAGAAGTGGAAAGATTATGAGAAAGTAGCAACAGAGGACAACAGGAAAGCAAGGTCTCTGAATCAATGGAGTGTAAATGGAGGCTACTCTTTCATTCCCCAGTCTCCCAGACCCAAATAATAACACAGAAACTATATTAGTACAACACTGTTTAGTCAATATCTTATGCATACTTTTAGCTAACTCTTACATCTTAAATTAATCCATTAATATTAATCCATGTATTGCCACACTCACCACCTCAATTCTGGTAAGCAGTTGGCACATGCTGCAATCAAATAACTTGCAGCAAGCAGCCCCTAAGCCCCATTAAAGTGCTTGGCCTCCTGAAAGAGGGCTTCCTGACTGAGCAGAAGCAGCAAAAACTGTGCAGCTCTTTTATGAAGGCTTCCTGGTTTGTTCATGGAACTAGCACAAACCAGGAAGCTTTCTTTTAAAGCAATCTTGCCTCTTCTTTCTGCTAGAAAACTGATCAAGCCTGGAAAATATATGACTACTAAGAAGTCATGTTTAACTCTGACTTTGTGTGTTTGAGAGTGTGTGTCTAGAATTTCTTCTCAACATCTCTCAGGTTTTATGTGGATGTAGTTGTCACAAATTGGGCACCATTTTGTAAGTGGGGACTACTTGTTCATTTCCCAGCTGTTCTGGTCTATTCGCTCATGCTTCTTATCACTAACTCTTACATCTTAAATTAACCCATTTCTATTAATCTGTGTATCAC